AGATAGACTTATTGTCATTTTTTAAAAATAATAACAATAATACATTTCTACCCTTGATTTGTTATGCGAATAAGCCAAAATTTAAAGAGAAAAAAATGTCAATAACAAATTCTTAAAACAAATCATGACAATTCGATAATATTTAAAAAAAACACATATATTGGACAAGTATCTCAAAACATAAAAATTAAAGGATGTAATCTCACATAAGAAAAATATAAAATATAACATTCAATAGCATCTGAAATAACATAAATAAAACAATGATTGTAGCATATTTTAGAATTTGAAAGCTTCGAGCCCTTGTTCAATGAAAGAATATAAATGTTTCAATTCCTCTATTTTAAATATCAACCCAACTTCAAGTCCACTATCTTTGTCTCCACTTTCAGCAAGAGACATATCTTTCGATGAATGCATCATCATCTCAACTTTTATAGGATTTCCAAATTCAAATCAGTCTCATAAACATTAAACTTAGGGGGAACCACTTACTAACAAATGATTTCCAGACATAAAAACCTTTTTAAACATAGCATCCCATTCTTCTGCATCTTTCAATGGATTATTTTTAATCTCTGTTATTGCATTTTGAATGGATTTGACACCATTCATAAAACCATATTCTCCTTTCAAATCCTTTTTCCTAACAGCTACAAAACATAATGTTAAGCAATTCCCAAAATATCCCACTGGTATTGGGTACCCTAGTCTCTCTCTACAATCACCTACGAAACAAAAATACTCATCTTTTTCATCATCATCATCATCATCATCGTTATTTCTATTTATTGTTTTAACCATAGTGGCCCAAACAAAACCACAAGTTACCACAAATTTAGATAGAAATTTTGGTGCTTCAATTTCGTGATAATTTGTCTTCCACTTATTAAGTATCCATATTTTCATTCCCTCAATTTCTTCTTTTGTAAAAATAATAGTTGTCTTAACATAGTCTTGATGTTCTTGTTATGTAGTTTTACTTGGAACAAGGAATCTATTCTTCCATGTTTCCCTCTGTTCAAAATAGCCTTTTAATAGAACATTTTCAAGTCCTTTTGGGTCTTTCAAGACTTGTCTATCAAAACAAGGTAGTGATTTCATGTCAATTAGCTCACCTTTTTTATGGATAAAAGACCAAGATTTCATGAAATAGTTGCAAAAGTAATCATCCATCACATGGCAATATGTGATGGCAATGCAAATACCATGGTTGGGGAAAAAAGATACTTGCAATGCCATCAATGAAAATATTAATGTGTCATTATCATGAAAGTCTATTTTTTGTGTTAATTTTGGAACAAGGTGACTAAAATCTTTGACACTTTTTGGGTGGTGATTGGTTGAAAGATTTTCGAAATCTGCCGAGGATTCAATGACAGTCAAAGTTAAAGCATCATTTTGGGTGCAAATAATAAAAGGTTTATGGGGTGGTGAAGGACAACGGAGATTTCCAACAAGGGGGAAGAATTTTTGAAGTGTAAGGGAAAGAGATTGTTTTAGAGATGGAAGTGTTATTTGGTAAAAATGATTCGTTGGATGAGGAAAGTTATAAAAGAATAGACGTTCAACATATTTTGGACCTGCAAAAGGTAAGTCGAGAAATGTTAAAGGAAGATAAATTGTTGTTTCTCTTTTTGTTGCTGGAAATACAAAAGTTGTCTCTGCCATTTTAAGAAATTTCAAAGAGGATATTGGAAAGAAGAAAATTTTATATAATTTCAAGAGAAGTAATAATGTATTTATAAAATAAAATATAACAATACTTTGAGGTGTATTTGACTAGGTCGTGATCACTCAATCAACATTTCACACATCATCATAAACAATATTTTGTTTTTCTATATTTATCAAATATTGTTGTTTAAAAACAAACTCTCTCATTCAAATTGTATCTTCAATTTTTATGTTACATTCAATTTAAATTACAGCGGTAAAGAATATAAAAATAAACATATTTTAGATTTTAAGTTTTTAATACTTAACCAACTTTTAAAAAAGTAGGGTTCCAATTTAAAATCCTACTTGTTTCTTTTGTAAGTCTATTTAGAACTAACCAATCTAGAACCTGCATGTATATTAATCAAATTCCAAGAGTTTTTATCATGAAGATATTTTATCTCATCATTCACAGTTCAGTTATGTTCCTTACTTTCTTTAAAAGTCATAACAGATTTGTAGCTTTTTGGTTATTCTTCTAGAATCTCACTTGCAGATACTAAAGCAAAGGCTATTATATATGCTTCGTCAATCCTCTGTGGTGGTTTAATTACTCTTCTAGTTCTATCCCTTATTAGTAGGTAATCATTACGTACTTGTTATTTATCAAAAAATTCATTAGCTTGAGTTTCTGCTGGCTCAGGTGATGAAACTCCAATCTAATATTTTACTTCACCTTCACTTTGTCTACCACACGCTGAAATCTCCCAAGATAAATTATTGGGTTAAATATATTTTTGGTCCTCCTAAATATCTCATACATAACTTTTAGTCCCTCCAAAAATTTCCTTCAAAGAATGGTCCTACTAAAAATTTTAATTTTAACTTTTGGCCCCTCCTGTAATTTAGCGATGATTTTTACAACTTAACGACAAAATTAGCAATGATTTTTTATTTAGTGACTCAATTAGCGACAAATTTAAAGACGGTTTTGGCATGACGGACCAAAAGTTAAAATTAAACTTTTTAGGAGGACCATTATTTGAAGAAAATTTAGAGTGACTAAAAGTTTAATATGAGATATTTAGGAGGACCAAAAACATATTTAACTCTAATTATTTGTATTGTGCATTTGATTGATAGTTGGTAGCAATATTTGTCGTAAAAGTCACATGTGTTTCATTAAACACAACATTATAACTTATGACGCACTTCCCATGTCTTGATTCTAAACACCAAAATGTGTAAGCATTTACTCATTCTTGATATCTAAGGAACATGAATCTTAGAGCTCTTGATTCCAAATTTTCTTATTTAATATTAGCATAAGCAACACAACCAAAAACTTTAAGTCAATCCAAATTTGTAGGATGCTCTGACCAAACTTCTTTAGCTGTCTTTGTACCCAAGGAAATTTAAGGACACCTATTTATCATTTATGATGCATTCATAAAAGTCTCATCCCAAAAATCATCTTCAAACAAGCACTTAAGAGTATGCATCTCACTTTTTTCAGAGTTTTCATGTTACATCTTTTAGCAAGATGTTGAGGAGTTACTGAAGTTGTCTTTTGTATTACTATACTATTCATGGTTCAATAACTATTAAAATAATTAGATAAATATTCAAGGCCATTATGTGTCATTAACTTCTTAACCATTCATTAACTTCTTAACCTTTCATTAACTTCTTAATTTTCCATAATTTTCTAGATTTTTTGTCAACTAAGGACATGAAACACCTTGCGCTTGATTGTGATGGAGTTCTTGAGGGTACCCAAAGATCAGCATAAACATAATCAAGAGATCAGTTTGTTCTTTGATGTGCTTTGTTGAAATTTTCCAAACAAGCTTTGTCAAAGACACAAAATCCAGAGTCCCAGCTTCTCAACCATATCACCACATAACAAGTTTTTATTTCCTAATTAAATTAGGTTATTCTCACTAGCATGACTAAGTCTAATGTGACATACCTCAGTCTTAGTCAAGGATTTTGTAGAAGATGTAGCACCTGATCCATTCACACTAGCATGGCTAAGTCAAATGTGCCATACCTCAGTCTTACATGTCATTTCTCTTAATGCCTCTCGTAACTTCCTTTCATCCCTTCATGACTTTCATAACACATTGTTAACCTTTAAACACACATCCTTTCTTATCAAATTTAATAAGAGAAATTAAATTATATCAAGGTCAGATACATTCCTAACACCAGTGAGAAGTTTCATAGTTTCATCATGAAGCTTGAATCTTATAGATCAAGTACCATCAATCTTACATGCATTATCATTTCCAAATATTGATTCTCTTTCTTGATCAAATAACTCCTTAAACAATAACTTGATTGGAGGCATATGCCAAGTACACCCAGAGTCCATGACATATTCCTTATAATAGTTGTTTCTATAGGCTACCAAGGCATTAGTAGATTCATATCCATTTTGAACATTGGCAGTGTTAAAATTCTTCTTCTTCTTCATTTTAATTTCAAAAAATCTCAAAAAATTATAATAAATACTTTTGATTTTTCTGTTTCTGATTATTATTTTTTCACAATTTTATTTTGTGTTCTAATATTTTTTTAATAATTTTTCACTTTATTTGAATTGTTTTAAATGTTTAAAAATACTTTTCTTAATTTTTAAATTATGAAAAAATATGGAAGGATCCAATGACCTTTTGAAAAATATTGGTGACCTCGTTTTATTTTTAGTTCAGACTTTATTATTTTTCACAGTTTTTGATTTGTTTTGCCTATTTCTTTTAATTTTAAAAATAGTTTCTGACTTTAAAAAATTACCAACAGTTTTATATAAATATATGAGCTCATTTTTGTTTTTTCAATGTCCTTGTTTGATTTTTATTGGATGTTTTGAATATAGTTACTATTTTTTACTTCTATTCCCATTTTTAAACCTTTTTTAAAATACTTTTCTTTATTTTTTTAAATATATTTTATCTTGTATATATTCTGGCTGATCTTGGACTATGAGATTTTGATCATTGGATCCACGGTTTGAGTTTAACTCCATAAAAAATGGATGAATGATTTTAATAATAGCTTGATTAAATTTTTTGTTCAAATGTGATTTAATTCTTAACCCATCCCTATTCATCTTATCCCCTTCTTATTGTACTAAATGTTATTGGAAAATGATTTGCATATCATTTCTTAAAACATATAGTACATAGATTGCTATTGACCGACCTCAAAATAGGTGTGACTTCTATATAAGTCCACTTACGATTGCTTAACATATCGCTAAATTTTTTCCCGATTTGAGAAAATGATCATTCGTGGCCTAAACCCATGTTTTTAAGCCCAAGTATGTTAGTTTGAACCCTTTGATCCAATAACTTTGAGATTCATTGTTAGGAGGCTTTGGACTACCAATCCTCTAATGAATTTTCATCAACTTTGGTCAAATTGGATCACTTAAACATCATTGATTATTTATTGTTGCCTTGAGATTTTGAAATGAATGATATACTTGACAAAAAGCAAATGAAACTTGTTGAGAGGCTTTGATTATATCAATCTTATAATGAGTTTTCAAATGCAAGTTTCAAGATGGTCATTCAACTAACCTCTAATTTCTAACCCAATAACAATTGACTTTATTTTATGCTTTTACTTTAAGAACATTTATTTAGGCATTTACATTTCATGCTATTTTCATCTATGCTCATTTGAGCATTTACTTTTATGTCATTTTTATTTTTCTCATTTGAGCTTTCATTTTCTTTTTGAAGATACCTAATAATCAACTTGAACCATAAAAAACTTTAATGTTACTTTGACTAGTTGGTTACTATCCTTGGTATTAAGGATATTGTGGACTTCTTGGACTTAGGATTAGAAGCTGTGACCTACTTTGAGACCTTGTGAACTCAACTGTTATTTTGTTTGGATTTCTTGGGGTTTACCCCAAGACATTGGGTTGTTTGTTTGTTTGCTTTGTGTGTAGGTTATCATGATTACATACTTTGTCTATGATCGGGAATTCATCTGTATACAGTGGTTACTCTGCCTAATCTTTGTGAAGACTTAATGCAATTGAAGTTTGGTTTTCTTAAGAGGTTTATTCTCTTTTCTTATTTGGTTTCAAATCCAAAGGATGAGAATTCTACATTGACTCATTGTGT